AGGTCGTTCGGTTCATCATAAGGGCCTAAAATGGGATGCTACATGAACCTGCATGTGCTACAGCAGGTACTACCACAGTACAAAGCGAAAAATTCCGTCCGATGCAGAATGGCGCACAGAGTGGGCTGATCTATAAGTGGAGGAAAGTTAAAAAATAATAAAAGGGATCATAGACGTAGCGATTTCAAATACCGTGCCTCTCTAGTCACACTGTAGACTAGGTAACCACTCTCAGGGCTAATGATAGGCATGCAGCGTATTCTGAAAGCAAAATGGAGAGTCTGGTTCACGTAGTAACACTTCATGAGCCAGAGCGACTATGGTGCATGCTTGAGACCTAGGAACCGATGTGAATCAATGTCCCGGAGTAACCGATCATTTCAGTGAAATCTGGTAAAAAGCCCCTGACGAACCCTATAATTCTACAAAGACCCATGTCAGAAATCAAGCTCACTGACGAATGAGCACTCACCTTAGAAAGTTCAAATGATCAGTGTCCCACGAGTTTGGAAATAGATGAAGCATCCATTCGGGCTTTTGAGAGACAACTGAATAGCCGTGTGTTTATCCAAGGAACCTGTTACTAATGCTGCTTGAACGATTTGGGGCTATTTTCCAGCTGGCTTCAACTAGGGATAACGCTTAAGATTGCTGTGTTGAGATATCCCTAACTATATTTGAGATTAGGATACATTACTTGTTGGTTCTTTGGCCTGGCCCACCTTACCTCGTGAGATAGGTGCTAGTAGACCACTTCAGCAGGACTACCTAAGCGGAAGAGAATTCCGCACCAAGGTCAGTCGTGTCTAATCAATCTGTCACAGTTCGACATCGGGAGTTTCATAAGGTTCATAAGGTTCTGTCCCAAGGGCCCTTAATGTTTTTGATTTTTTCCATGCCGTCTGCGGGAATCTAATCAAGGCTGATTATGTGAAGATTAGGAGAGGAATAAAGCTTTCAGAGGACTCACACAGGTTCGGGGTAGTAGTGAAAATGCTGAAACACTGAGCACTTTCAAACTAGAAACTTTAGAGTAGTGGAACTACGTACTCACACGCAGCTGAGTGCAAGTTACTCTCCACGTGGCAATAACTTAATGATAACAATAATAATAATGATAAAGCATTATTTGAGACAAAATGCGAACACCTAATGGAGAAATTTTAGAATATTTAGTTCCAGAACATTTCCTCTTCATACACCATTTACATTTAAAGTGATAATCTGAAGTATATAATGTGAAGTTTCATATATATATATATATTCCTATCTATGTCGAGTATGTACAGATAACCAAACCAGCGGATTTTTTCCTCAACTTCCCCAAGAATCGCACAATATTTTGTTGAAAGCTAGTAAAAATATGTACACGAGTCTATTTAGTCACCGTCTAAGATAACTGCACCGTTAAAACAATACGAAACGCACAGGGTACTATGCATTTTTGTATGAATATTATTGTAGCCCAGTGGTTTAAGTAGGCCGCCTCGTTCTACAAACGTCAGAGTACGACTAATGGAAAAGCAGGATACACGTGCCAATTACTGGGGCAGTGTGACGATGGCATACGCAGTCGCATACTTCACGCTTAGACAATTAATCTGGTTAACTTCTGGTGTTTTTGTAGGAGGGTGTAAACATGCTTATGGGCGCACCTCGAAGTGCAGACTCTTTTGACACAACCCATGGAGAATAGCGCATTATGGTGCGAAAAGTCAAGTGCACTCCCATTTCTGTCCTCTTCGGGTTCGCCAGCCACAGAACTTTTCACTAGCAGCTGTGGCTACTGGGCTGTCCATGGAAAACTTCATGCGGAAGTTGGATAATCATGCGGTAACAAAAGGAGTGTGTCCAAATTGAGTATCTCCTTGAAGTTCACATGCTGCACTCTATTAATGAGGATCATCATCCTTTATCTCTGCCCAGTCTCTTTTGTCTCATCTTTCTAACTGGTTTGCCATTTCATCCACTTGCATTTTAGTTTTCATTATCTATTTGTTTGTTCGTTTTTGTTTCTAGGTGTGCACAATCTGCACTAATTATGTTACTATTATTGTTCCCCATGTCGACCATTTAGAGTCTCCCAAACTCATTATGATGCGGTCACTTTTTGACGACTAAGGGATTCAGAAAGATGAGACTGGTAACCGGTGGGACCTACATTGTCTGTTTTATTTGTAAGGGTTTCTTAACCTACTTAATGATGGATAACCTTTCATGTGTTTGACTGGGTTTCCCACTTCGATTTGGCACTGTCGAGCTATCAAAAATAAGTTTAAAAAAAATAGCTGTTGTTAGTTAATTCGGGCTTCTAAAGCTACAGTGGATGATTAATGAGTGAAAGACCAACTTCACTCACGGTAGCGACATAGTCTTAACACACCACATACTACAAAGCACATATGACTAATCTTTGTGTTACTTGCCTTAGAGTCAACCAAAGCTACAACAGTCGATTAGTAGGAGATACTACGCAGTTTACAGAGGATTAAGAATCTTTACCTTCTAACCAATAAGCGGGCACAAAAAATTAATTTGGTTCCTGCGATATTGGGATGTTTCGTGCTGGATTGAAGCTTTACAGCAACGGATTTTCTCAATAACCCGACCGATCGTATGCAAAAATATCAGAATAACAAGTGAACACCTTAACATCTAGGCATCAAGGTTGAAATTTCGGGCTTTCACCTACTCACAAAATTCTGTCACTGCTGTCCAATATTGGGCTTAACTGTTTACCTTATTTTTCATTGGTTTTGTAACCAGTTTCGGTTTACGATAAAATCTAACTCAGTTTCAAGCAAATGTCGGCTAACCAACACCGGATAATTATTTTAATGCTCACTTGTGACTAACTACCAGATGGAGTGTCTAGAGTTGCAATGGTCAAGCGTGACCTTTAGGGTCCCTCAAGTCATCTTCCAGGACATATATTCACCGGTGGTGCTGTACGTTACAAGTTAGTAGAAGTTGCGATTCATATTTAATTCGGTTCTGTCTCAGTAGACGGACTGTCAGAAGCCTCTCTCTGTAAAGTGAAAGTCTTTGTTTCTCTCCCCAATGTAGGCATTGGTGCATACTGCTGAACAGTCGGCAACCAGGACGAAGCAGCTACCCATCCACTCACTAACTGATGTCAGTTTTTGATCTAACTTGAAATTCCTTACAAATTAAACACTGGAGCTTCATACATCTTCACTGAATTACTATTATAACACTAGTAATGTTTCTTTGTTCTCTAGGTTAATTTTCTATTGAATAATTGATTACGTTGGGCTGATTTGCTCGATCTCTGTTGCTGACTTGTCGACTGCGAGTACGAACGCTTCGATGCTGTTTAAAATGAAGTTATTCTGTGGAAAGAAGCAGGCGTATTTCGTCCTATTTATGACTCAGCGGTAAATGGATGTACTTGCTTTTGAAGTGGTGGACTCGAGTCCCAATGAAAACACCATCAGTCACTGGGAATACAGGTACATGGAGCTGTGACGACTCTCTTAGTAGAAAGAGATGCACATCCTGGACTCCATTGTTTACTCTTAACAACCCAAATAGCAAAGCTTCTAATTCGGGGAAGTTTCCGCACACCATCCATAAAATACTTAGATTACCAGTATTTATAAAAGGTTTATATGTCCAATGTTAATGGACAACAGAAGACAGAGGTTACTGTCAGTTAGTCACAAAAATAAATCAAAGTGTATGAGTACTTATAGTGTTTGAAAAATTGAAAATAATCTTGCATAATCAAGAGGTATTACTATTATTTATTTTATTCCTTTACATGCAAACAGGAACATAAGGGTTCAAGCTAGAGCTTTGAAGATTCAGTAGCAGTTGTTTTATTTTTTAACTGGGTGGGGTTGCTAACTTCACGCCCAGCCTTCCCCTTTTATTAACCTTTCTCCCGACTTAGCGAGGCTTAGGAGTGCGTCAACCGGAGCTTGAACCCCAGGTAAGTCTAAATTGAATTAAATAGTGATAATAAGCTCTGTTGTCAATTAACATTATTATTATTATTCCCTTGGGTTCCCATTGGAACACAGGGATTCAACAACATATCTCGACTTTGTTCTATTTCCTGCCATCCTCTTCCGCTGGGTCCACGATCGCTCACAAGTTTTCATCTCTTCCTGACACGATCTCCTCCATGCCCCCTCGGACGGCTCATCCACCCGTCGCTTCCTATTTGGATTGCACTAGAGGGCCTGGCACACGATGTTATTTGACAACCTCCTCAAAGTACCCTCGATCCATTTCCATTTTCTTCGACATATTTGTTCAGCAATCGGCTATTGGCTGCCAGAGTTTCTTGTCACTAATTTTTTTCTCACTGACCATTTGATCTTCAGTATGGAGCAAGTGAAGTCAGCTATTGATAAAAGTCTGCAGTAGCCTGTTGGAAATGCTTTTCGTGACACGCAGTACAAGTTTCTGACCCACATGGAAGAACTGACTAACTTCACATTTGTGTGTTCTTTATGCTGAGTGAGTGACAGCAGAAGATTTCCATACTGGTTTCAGGTTGATAAAGACGTATCTTGCCTTTCCGATTCTGACTGACTGGCTTTGATATCTTCAGCCGTTCGGACTGCCTGTAGTCGAAACGATGCTTCCCATGTAAGTGAAGGAGGTAACCCCTGTTGAATCTCCCCCTTTGATGGTGATTGGTGCTTGTTGTTGTTGTTGCTGCTGTTGGTTTGTTGGTTATCTTTATCACCTCTGTCTTCTCTATGTTCACCTGAAGCCCTATCTTCACTGCTTTTTTCTTCAGCCAGTTTGTAGCTTTTCGCTTGTATGTCTTCAAGTTTGTGTGTGACCCACTTCTCCTCCTCACTAAAAAGCTAGTAACCCCCCACCACCACCACCTAGCAAACTCCCTAAATAACCGTAGAGGAGCTGTGAAATAAAGCGTGTTACAATGGAAGAGATCTCTTCGCCGACTTATATATATTCTTAATTTACAGAAACAGATATAGCATTTGTAAATATAAAACAAATTTCACAATGAATTTCTTTGTTTTGTTTTGTTTTGATTTTTTCTCTCTTTCAATACATATTTTTAGAAAAAATTAAAAACACAAATGTCAAAAGTAGGTTATTTCTGATTAGTTAGTAATCAAATAAAACAAAAAAATAGAATTGAAATATAACTAACTACACAAGAAAACAATACACAAGTATATTGCATTGTTTAAGTATTGTTTGTAAATCTGTTTTTATTTCTCTTCACATCTCAAATGAAGGATTTCATTTTCAAAAGAAAATATCGTTGATACATATACATTCAAAGATCGTTGAGCATTTGAGCACCAATACTACTACTAAATGTTAAAACAGACAAACAAACAAACTACACAGAGCAGAGACTAGAAAGAGTGATGATCGCATAAATGGTTATAGAAGAGCCGAGAGACAGGGAATATACCCTCAATAACTCTCAATCTATTAATTTCCTTTATTGATATGGAAAAATAAAACTATACACAAATTATTATTATGTATCAAGTTATAAATTCGATCTGAGAAGAAAATAAAGCTAAGAGAATACAATACACATTGATAGCGTGTGAAAAATAGGGTTCAAAATCAAAATCTGACGCACACATACACACACACACAGTTACTGATCCTGTTCAATGTGTTCAACGGGTTGTGTTTTGACTTTGTGTTTGTTTGTTTGCACCAATAAATCGCAAAATGGATTATTTATTGAAATTTAAACATAATGCGAGATTGGATTAAGAACTGAAAAAAATGAACGGAAAATCAAAAAAAAAGAAATCAAACAGATAGATTCAACAACTCATTTTGGGTATATATAAAACTTAAATGTATGCGTAAAACTTGGGCACTGTGGTAGTAAGTAATTCCATATTAGTTTGTTTATTAGGTATATCACACAGTGAAGAAACAGTATTATTTACTGGATGACGTTTCGAACAAAATTTATTGTTGATAATCATATCAATTGTAATCACACGACTTTGACACTTGAGTTTTATAGTTTTCTTAGTTCTCTCCTATTTGTCGTAGGGGTAGTAGAATTTTCCAGATATCTGGGACAGGTGATGAATCATTCCTATTACATGTATTTGTAGTTGATTCGATAAACAAAGCTTCTGTTATCAATCTCTCCCTCCACCCTGTTACATTAGATTTTTCACTGTCATCCTATCCCATCATTCTATTGTATGGTTATGTGTGTAACTGCATGTAGTGCTATAGCTGAACTATTCTCTAGATTTCTTATCTTATTCGGGTCAACCAATCCAGATTTTGCTAAGTTTTTATGTTCAGCTAGTCTGGCTGCCCCTGTTCTTAGCAAAATCTGGATTGGTTGACTCGAATAAGATAAAAAATCTAGAGAATAGTTCAGCTATAGCACACAACCATACAATAGGATGGGATAGGATGACAGTTTTAAAATCTAATGTCACAGGGTATAGGGAGAGATTGATAACAACGGAAGCTTTGTTTATCGAATCAACTACAAATACATGTAATAGGAATGATTCAGCACCTGTCCCAGATATCTGGAAAATTCTACTACCCATATGACAAATAGGAGAAAACAAAGAAAGCTATAAAACTCAAATGTCAAAGTCGTGTGATCACAATTGACATGATTATGAACAATCATCAATTGTGTTCGAAACTTTGTCATCCAGTAAATAATACTGTTTCACTGTGTGATATACCTAATAAACAAACTAATATGGAAAAACTTAAATGGTTATAATATTTTTTTATTATAATAAAGGTTTTTTGTATTTCCCAATGAATGAATGAATGAAAAACAAAACGATATCATTGTTTTTTAGTGATGTTTCGCTATTTAATGCTGCTAATAGCTTTATCAAAGTAGCTATATTAAACCAGAATTTACAAAATCCACTCAGCTTATATATAACAACTTAATCATCATTCCTCAGCATGGGGGCAATTTTGCGTTGTCAAGTTGACCAATTGGTAAAGATAACAAAACCAGGTGTAAATTGTTGGATTTGATAAGTGTATCAGATTATAAAAGCAGTGAGTATTTACATAATGCAATTGATTATCACATCCGTGTTGATTTTGTCATTTCATGGGGGAGGGGGTGGTGTTGTAACCAAGTCAAATTCTAGTGTTGGTTTGTAGGGATTTGATTTGTTACAGGATTTTCATCATGAGCTGACATTAGTTAGAGAACCATTGGAAAACCTGGGAGTACTGGACAGCTGTTTCGTCCTAGTTTGGGACTCTCCAGCAACACGCACTCATCGGGATTCGAACCCAGGACCTCCTGGTTTCCAATGGTTCCCTAACTAATGTCAGCTCATGATGAAAATCCTGTAACCAATCAAATCCCTACAAACCAACACTTGAATACGAATGAGATGCTCACCAGCGACTTGCCCTATTCAGGTAGGTAGTTACCTGGGGTTATAGTGAGAAGTCGTGACCAGTAGGGTGCAGCAGTTCGGGTGTGACGACAAATACTCGCCGAAGACATTGGCTAGGGGTCGCGCTATGTCGTGAATTGGCAGAAGTTAGAATTCATGGACCATTGAATCGGGTCCCAGTGGCTTAATGGTATACGAGCTCGCCTTGTAAACCAGAAGGTCCGGGGTTCGAGTCCCGGTGGGTACCTGCTGATGAAGAGTCCCAAACTAAGACGAAACAGCTCGCCAGTACTCCCAGGTTTTCTAATGGTTCTCTAACTAATGTCAGCTCATGATGAAAATCCTGTAACCAGGTCAAATTCTGTTTTAGTCTATCATTCTTATTCAGACAATTTGGATTCCACTTGATATGATGTGCTTCTGATATCAGACGTTCTTTGTGATTTCTGAAATGCTTTTTCTGGATTATTTCAATATTGTCAAAATCAATTTTGTGGCCTGATTCTACAGTGTGTTGAGAGCTATGGCTGATGATATTTTAGTAAACAAGATATATATACTTAAAGTATATTAGATTCAAGAGGAGCATATCATGTGCAAATGAAATTGCAACTCTGAGCATCATCATCATCGAATAGAGCATAGAATGGCGGCAGTTAAATATCCTATCTCATATTCATCGATTTTGAAGAGAAAGCTTTCTACAGCAATGACCGCGGAATTGTTTGAAAGCTTCTTCAACATTATGAAGTATCACATACCTTTATCAATTCCATTCAATAGTTATATGACAACGTCACATGTCAAGTAATCCATCAACGGATGGAAAACTCAGAGCAGCCTATGAATTGAAGACAAGACGAGATTAAGACAAAACTGTCTAATATCACTGATGGTATTGCTGATTGTGGTGCATTGGATGATGCAACAAACCGTGGGAAAAGAGAGAAGACAGGTATATGTTGCATCAACAAGAAGACTGTAGAAGATCTGAACATTGTGGATGATTTATATCCAATGTCACGTAAACTCAAAGATCTAAAGGCGAAAGGCGACAAGTCGACAGAAGAAGCAGGCAGCGAAGACAGGAGACTTCAATTGGACATAGAGAAGACAGAGGTGGTGAAGATAACCAACCAACAGCAAGAACAATAACAACAAGCACCAATCACTATCAACGGAATAAATGTAAAAAAAGTCGCTTTCTTCACTTATCTAGACAACATCGTTTCAACTACAGGCAACAGCATGGCTAAGAATATCAAAAGCAGAGTCATAAAGTCAAGAAAGACCTTTATCACTCTAAAATCAGTGTAGACGTCTACTGCACTCAGCACAAGGTACAATATGCGGATTTTCGACACTAATGTCGAGTCAGTCAGTGCTTTTTTGTGTTTCGGGGAATTGATGCGTCAAAAACACATCATTTCCAATGGACTGCAGACTTTTATCAACAGCTACCTTCATTTCATACTAAAGAAACGATAAACGGAACTAACCAAGCACCTATTGCCCAAAAATTATGTAGAAGGAAATGCAATTGGATCGAATATATGCTGAGGAAACAGTTGAATGAAAACACGCACCAGATCCGTGCTTGAGTAGAACCCGAATACGAAACGGCGATTCAGGTGTCCAAAATTTGTCATGGAGGGGATCGTGTGAGTAAGGCATGAAAGCTGATGGGCAATAATGGAACCAGCCAAAGAAGAGTTCAGAGAACATGATGAAAGGAAGATGTGCTAATGAAACTCTATATCCCACTCAGAAGCAAAAGGATGTCGGCTCATAATGAAACCTCCCAACCAAATAAACACAACCCTTACAGAACGAATACTTGAAAAGGAATAATAATAATTTTCGACAATGCTCTCACCATGATATTCATTCAGCCATCATATAACAGAAGTAGACTATATATACAACAAAACTCTCTTATCATATAGAGGATTTTCGTGTACGTCAGTGGCACAGTGGTTAGGGCTCTCGTCGACTATATGCACATGGTTTGGGGTTCGATCCTCAGCCGACGCACACCTGATATCAATTGATCGGCCTGAAAAATTTGGGCTACCGATATTACATGCTGAAAATTCCATACTTGTACCAATAATACGGTGTGGAATCAAGCTATTATCAGAAATATTCGTTAGACTGAGCTTTTTATACTAAAACATTTATTATACTGTTCACTTATCAAATAAGTGTATCGGTGCTTCAATAACTGCTGACTGCTCGCTGGATGTGAAGGAATTTCGGATTAAATTCCCAGCTGACAAAGTCCTAAACTTCGTAGTTTACTAGCCAACAGTAAGTTCAAAAAGGGAGGATAAGTTGGGCATGAGACGCCCTGCAGCATCACTGCTGATCGAACCTTAAAAAGCCTTAAGTCTTATGCTCCACTTTGTACCAAAGAGTTGCAGAAAAATGATCCACGAGAGACGAAAGAACAGTCTTATCATTCAGTAATAAGAAATAATTTCGTTGGGAGATTTGTTTCAACAATTTCATATAAACGAAGCGACAACAAATACATAATTAGAATGGTAGTTTGTTAGTCTCATAAATTCTGATTCTTCAATTTGACCTCTTGTATAGTGTGACAGGAATATGGTGTACTACGGAATTCTGAATAGAATAAAACAACTACCTTGTTAACTCTTGGAATTTCAATAAGCCTCTCTTGATTTTTGAAGACATCTCTCTTGAAATCAGTTAATTTTCTGACATACAAAGAATTTTTAAAATTGAAACTGTACTTTCATTGAACACTAGGTAGTAACTAATATCCAATCAAAGTGTAACGATAGACCACAAGGGAAATCACGAGATACTTATATATTTTTAAGTACATTATTATTCGTTATTATTAACAGAGAAACAGCCTCTTCTGATTGGTTGTTTTCTCGATGAAAGTTACTCTGTCATCTCTTTGTGGCCGTTTCTATCAAGGTCAAACCATATATCTTTGCATCGTATCCACCCACGCAAAGTTTGCTGTTATTGGTTGTTGAGTTAGTCTTTGCTCTTGTTTTTTTTCTCATGACCAAGATATGGGACGTAAACATTGACGTGAATTGCTGTCTACAAATTTTGGCTGGCAGACAGCTCTCACCACAAAAGTACTCGTAACAATCCTAAAAGCAGGTAACATATCTGGTAACAGCAGCAGTGGCTGACCCGGGCTCGAATCTCAAAGGTGACGTTATCTCCTTCAAGATTGTGGATGCGCTTTGCTGACACAAGTGACATCATACACGAAACTTAGGTCTAAGGCTTCCTACCGATTGCCTCCAACCATTTAATAATAACAGTTCAGATGAAGTTATATTTTAAAGTAGGATGATGGTTCGATGAATCTTATTACAAAAAAGAAATTAGGATAAACTTATCAGATATAATGAAAGGATATAATATAAAGGACGATAATTTAACTGGCTAGTACAGCTTTGTAAACATGTTTTGTGAATATGAAGATCACTCACTCACTCTTTCTCTTTAGGGAATCCTTTGAATCAGGTGGATTACATCAGATGATTATTAGCTAGCTATAAAAATTGCAGTTGCTTTTATAAACCTGTGTCAGCCGTTTCAATGTACTAATTTACAGGATTTCTCAGCTGTGCGATATAGCAAGTTAAATTTTCTTTTTTTTTCTGGTACAATAATGGTTTTGTCCGAACCAATTTACACTTTAAAGCTATACATTATAAGATTTTATAGTAAATCTTGTGGTTGGGTGTTGAAACATACTCACAGAGGTAGGGCGTTTCCACTTTGCGACTAGTGTCTGCACGCATCATTTCATCTACACTTGAAAATATTTATTCTATGAACAGTTATCTTTATGCTTAAATCAATAATACATTAATAAAAATTGAAAACACTAATAAGTGATTTAAAATAATTTGAGTCGCTTTTAGTAAATTTGGTTAGCTTTACAGGGAGACGGAGTTTATCTAAAAAGTGTGTATTTGAGCAAAATACAGACATTGGTGGTTCACCGGTAGAATGTCAGCCAGTCACGGATATGGTTGAAGCTCGATTCCCGGCTGGTGCATTCCTAAACCTCTCCTAGAGGGTAACAGACCTGGAAAAATGTCAAGGTTGGGTGTTAGGTTAACAAATCCACTCCGTAAGGACAATAGAAGTGGTTGTCAATTGATAGTGTGTGCATGCAAAATAACGAAGCATCTTACGTAATCACAAAAATCATATAACACAACTTACTTTTTTCCGCGACATAATCATTATTAAGGGGGATATTAAAGGCATCATAGTCTCATTATAATTTCGTTGTCTTGATGAGCGTATCCTCCAAGTATGTATCTTCAATGACCACAGGATCAGAATATGTTACAGCGAGTAGTTCTTTACTCCCCGATAGCTTTAATCTGTCTTCTTTGACAATATATTCATTTTTCAATGCATTATTTATATTACTGGAAGATGTATTTCTTTTATACAAATCATTATTGGAGAGGAAACTTTGGCAATAGATAACAGCATCATGAATACTAATAAATGACATATGGTCAATTTGTGATGATGTCAAACTGCCACCACTGGTTAGAACAGATCTTATCTGTGGATCACATGCGGTGAAGAGAATTCGAATACCTAATTCACCGTAACATTTCACTAGCTAAAATGGAGAAAGAGAAGGCAAAATGTTAAACATTAAGCACTGGTAACTACCAATCAGCGAATGACCTTGAACGCACCAATCACATGAAGGAGGCACTTTTGGGCATGGAACACATATATTTATGAAAAGATTTTTATAAAAACTGTATAAAAGTGTTACAGAGGATACCTTTCTCTCACATGTGATAAAAACACATCCAAGTTTAGCATAAGATTATCAATGGAAAAGTTACACCACATCCTAGGCATATATTCATCTAAATGACTGTAAATGACATTTTTCTGAGATCCATTAATGTCTCTAATCCCGTTTTTTAACCTTTCACAAAAACCTTCGATAGAATTGGTGTAGGTCCCTGTAATAGGATCTACAGAGTCATTAGAATGATTGAATCTGAGGTCACTATAACCAAGGGATGGCAAGGAGTTATAAGCTTTTCGCTCATCTGTGTCTATTATAGATCCTTATTCAACCAGTCGAGTGATAATAGGTACTAAAGTACTTGGCTTTCTATCTGCTATCCTCTCGACGAATCCTTTTTGTAGAGAGGACTCATATGAACCAATTACCAGAACATTATTCGCTCGTTCCCGACCACGGTTGTATTTGATCTAAGACAGTTTCGTCTACGTGTACGATGACACCTCTTCCTCCCAATACGGAAGTAAGCCTCTCCATTTTGCAGGATTCGATATTCCGTAGAGTGCTGGTACCACCAAACTGTTGATACGAGACTACTTTCAGTCATCACACCTCCACATGAACAAATCCTGTCTTTCCTAATCAACCCTACATCTATGCAATACTGTAAGACTTGGTCCTCACTGAACTGCAAACGCAACTGCGTTATAGCAGGTGTTTGATTCAAATCAAGCGGGACAGAAGCTTCAACTCATGTAAATAAAACTCATTGGACTATTCAAGGTCAATGGTGTGCACGCACTCCATTGGTAGTTTGTGGTGCTTAAAGTGACTTGGCCAAGAGAAGAAAGCAAGCAAGGGAAGGTAAGGATTATAAAAGTAAATAGGGCTTTTGATTACTTCTTCTTCTTGCTGAAGTTAGGAGGGGAGATGTTGTCTCTGTTGAAGGACAACTGAAAGCTTCGGAATTAAATCATACTGTTGGCGGAGAGAACAGCCCCCCATCACCACAACAAAAATATTATGAGGAAAGACACAGCTTTTGTTCAACCGAAAAACATATTTCTTTTCGACGACGTCAAGTTATTTAATAATCTTTTGAAATGTTATAATTCATCCACTTCAATTCTACCCGCTTAAAATCATATTAACTATCTTTGTTCTTATCATACGCAAATTGATTGGGCAATTTTCAGTATCACTTAATGACTTCTTGCGTAATATAAACACGACAGTAGAGCTTGGAACTGAAGTCGTTGCAAAAGATTCTTTTGGAAATTATTCGATTTCGTCACGAACCAACATCAATTAGGGGAATTGGTGGAAACCACAGAGCATTGGACATCTGTTTCGTCCTACTTTGGGACTCTTCATCAATTCGCACTCACGACCTTGCTAGTGATGGGACCTGGCTTACACATAACTGGCTCAAGTGTCGCAATGGTCAACAAGCTTCTTCTCTTAACCAGAATATTCCAGTTTCGATTCATGGTGGAATTGCAGGTGCACATCACAGAACAGTCCCAAACTAGGATGGAGCAGCCGCCCATTCCTCCCTGGTTTTCAGTGACCATCAACTGATGTTCGTCCGGGATGAAATCTGACAATTGAAATCAATCCGAAATCCCATAAATCACATTGTCTAAATATTTTTCCCTACAAGTAGCTACTCATTCTAATTTCATACATTTAAACTCAGTGATTAATACTTGAGCATATTTTTGCAAAATTGATATAAGTTCAGAATGCGAATTCTTATGCGGACTAGTCCGCTCATATTGTTCAAAGATGTCAAATATTTACACCTTAACAGACTAAAATCAGATTCTTGATTTCTTTGGTAAGAAAAAGTCTTCGTTAAACAGCGAAGCAGTGATATCTAATGATGTAACATTTGAAATACACCAACCATGCGACTGACTTTAGGTTACAGTGGATTGTTTTTACCCTTCGTATTGAGCATATCACATTTGAGCGGCTCGGTTACACTCTGAAATTCCCTATCCCTCCAAATCATATTATGACTAATAGTCAGCGATTCTAAAAATGGTGCTATTCGATAGACTTCCTTATTTCTACACAATTCATCATTCAGCTTAGATGAAAACGGTGCCTACATCGAGACAATATGGTCTGGGTCCGATGACGAGCTGACATCAGTTAGAGAAAAAACGAGAAACCGGGGAGAAGTGGACAGATGTTTCGTCCTAGTTCGCGACCCTCCAGCAGTACTCATCCATCTGGGTTCAAACTGAGAACCTTACGGTCACAAGTTAAGCTAGTATGTACTCAAATAATCTCATTCAGTTGACATTCACAAGTTTACCAATTATGAACAGATGCAAAAATGGTGCTTTAGAGCATTGAGTACATACATTTGAAATTTCACATATGTAGATGAAATTGAAGCAAATTATATACAGCTTAATCTAATGTGTAGTGTATAAATCACGTTCACAATGAAAATTGCTTCTCATAAATCAGCGACAATGTTAACAAAAGTTTAGTCTGAAACTGAACCTTTATGTGTACAAAAAAATACAATAACCACAATGATTATTCAATGAAAATATCGATTCACTGTCCTCTTCATAAATTTTGGTCTTTAATTCTCTTGTCTATTATAACTGGCAATAAAAAAGGGTTTTCGGAGTATATATGCATTGTTTTTTCAAGCTATGAGTGTATTAGGCGATATTTTGGATTGTGGTAATAATCCATCTATTGTGCAATGGGTGATACTATCGTAGACTGGAGGGTGTTTAAAACAATGGATGTAGGGTTCGAGTCCCAATGGGAATACCATCACCCAGTGGGTAGAAATAGAACGAAACGCTGGATGCTCTGGACGCTATTGCTAGTCACCACCACCACTAACCAAAGTAACTTAAAGTTAATCCTTAGACAACGTCAATGCGACGGTACTAGGAGCGAGCATGTCAACAACACAGACCGAGAATTTCAGTTGAACATACCCAATCAATAGGAAGTGCAAGATTAACCTTCAAAAACGGTTAACAGAAGGCAAAGTATTTCATGTGATTATCGTTCTATATAATTTATTATTATTCCCTTGAGTTCCGAGTGGAACATACCGCTTCAACAACACATCTCCACTTTCTTCTATTTTTCAATCTCCTCTTCAGCTAGTTAGCCCCAAGATTCCCCATAATCTCTCATCTTCTCCTCGCCACACAATCTCCTCCATATCACCATGCACCGGCGATCCACCAGTTACTTCCCATTCGGACTTCACTCGAGCAATGTCCTGCATAGCTCGCGATGCCACTTAACTGTCTACTCAAAGTATGCTCGACAATTTCCATTTTCTCCTACATATTTGTTGAGCGATCGGCTTTCTCCTGTTGGTTTGTTGCCAGAGTTTCTTGTTGCTAATTCTTTCTGACCGGCTCGCCATTTCACCTTCAGTATGGAGCGAACGAAGGGGGCAGCTGTTGATAAAAGTCTGGTCTATATAGAAGAACTGACTGACTTCATATCTGTTTTGAAAATCCGAAACTTATTCTTTATGCTGAGGTGGAGTTCAGAGGATTTACCAAATGGTTCCAGGTTGATGAAGGTGTATCTCGCCCTTCTTATTCGGACTCGCTTTGACATCTTCATCCGTTCCGACTGCCCGTAGTCGAAACAATGCTTCCCAGATAAGTGAAGGAGGTTGCCTCTGTTGAATCTCTCCCTTTGATGGTGATTAGTACTTGTTGTTGTTGGTTTGTTGGTTATCTTCATCACCTCCGTCTTCTCTGTGTTCACCTACAGTCATATCTTCGCTGCCTGCTTCTGACAGTCTGTTGGTTTCCCCCTGTAAGTTTTCGAGTTTGTGTGTAATTAGATATATATCATCCATACGCGAAATTCAGATCTTCTAAAGTCTTCTTATAGGTGGTCCGACGCATTCTCACTCCCAAAGCATATTCTGATGCATAATCCGGTCAGTCCACCGCAATTAAGAATAGCATCGGTGATAATAGGCAGTCTTGTATTACCCCTGTATGGACTTCAAAAGCCCCGTTTAGTTTTCCGTTGTGGATAACTTGACACGTACCATTGTCATATAGCTGTTGAGTGAGGTTGACAGAAATTTGAGGCACGCTGTACTGTTGAAGTAGTTTCCAAATTACTTCTTGGTCGATGCTGTCTATTGAAGGCGTTTTCGAAGTCGATGAAGTTGCGGAGAAGTAAGGTATGACATCCATTCTATGCTTTGTTCTGTGATGATGATGCGTAGAGTAGCAATTTGATAAGCACATGATATGACTTCCCTGAATCCAGCTTATTTCTATATACGAAATGTTTCGCTGTATTACACGACTATATAAAGTTTTTCTAAATTCTTTTCTTTTTTTATTCAAAATATAAAGTTATAATCTGTCTGTTAGATAATCTTTCACAAATTAAATTGACTGGATATAGTTTCATGAAGTAGGCCAAAACAAATTCACTGCTTGGTTATGCAAAATTAGTTAATCACTGACCGACAACAGCTTTTTACTTAATTAATTATAATAATTATTATTATTTCTTAGGGTGAAGATGTTAAAGCCAGAAGCGGAAAGACAAGATACACCTTCATCAGCCTGTAACCAGTTTGGAAATCTTCTGCACTCCATCTCAGCATCAAGAACAACATTCAGATTTTTTATACAAATGTGAAGTCAGTCAGTCACTTCTTCTATACGGGTCAGAAACTTGCACTGCGCGTCACGAAGAACATTCAAAACAGGCTACTGCAGATTGTCATTAACAGCTACCACCTTCGTTTGCTTCATATTGAAGATCAAATGGCCAACCGGCGAGAAAGAATTAGCAACAAGAAACTCTGGCAACAAACCAACAGGAGAGAACCGATCGCTCAACAAATATGTAGGAGAAAATGGAGATTGATCGAGCATACTTTGAGTAGACGGTCGAGTGACATCGCACTCAATGCAGGCCGTTGATCGAAGGGAGTCCGAATGGGAAGCAACTAGTGGATCTTCGGTGCGAGGGTGACATGGAGGAGATTGTGTGGCGAGGGGAAGATGAGAGATCATGGGGAATCTTGGGACTAGCCAGCTGTAGAGGACATCGGTAAGTAGAAGACATTGGAGATGTGTTGTTAAAGCGGCGTGTTCCACTCGGAACTCAAGGGAATAATATTAAAAAATAATAGTAATCCCTTAGGGATACCAGTGGAACATAGGGTTTCAGCAGCACATCTTCAGTGTGCACTCCGTTCTCTACAGAATCTTTTTTTCTTGCTCCACGATTGCCCATAAGCTTTCACATTTCTTCCTGAAACGCTCTCCTGCATGTCATGTCCAGACCACCGCCAAACTCGTTGTTCTCTATAAGGATTTTACTTAAGGGTCTGAGTAGTGTACGGTGTGACTCGATGGTCTTCTCAGCGAGTATGTCCCATCCAACTGCATTCACGCCTGCATATTTGTCAAGGGTAGTGAGTTGTTTCCTAGTTTGCTGCCTCCCAATTTTCTATGTTGCTAATCCTTTCAGGGCATCTGATCTTCATTAGGCATTGAAGGTAGGTAGCTGTTGATGAAAGTTTGCTGTAGTAGTCTGTTGGCAATACTTTTGATGACTCACTCATCAATTCTCTGTATAATACAGAAGCATTCCTTATCCTGAGTACAGTTGATGTTTGCAATGATTTCAGAGTAATGTAGAGCTTTCCAATTCTGCCTGTGACATCCTCATCAAAGCTCCTCAATACTGTTAATACGTGACAGAAAGGATATATATATATGCCAGTGAAACATAGGGTTTCAAACTAGAGACTTGAAGTTCCTGTAGCAGTGGTGATTATTTTTACAGGATGGGGTTACTAGCCTCATGCCCAACCTTCCCTCTTCACCAGTCTTACTACTGGTTTAGCGAGGTAGAGTAAGGCGTCGGCCGGGGATCGAACCCCGGGCCACCTGTGTGGTTGGCGAGTACTCAACCGCTGTGCCACCGACGCATATATATATATATATATATAATGCCATTAAATTAAGTTTCAATGTTACTCAGACTTTTGTTTCGTAAATTTAATCATAAAGTCATTATATAACTTGCATATAAGGAAGCTTATCTCATACTGTTTCACTAAATCAAAAATCTTGCAGATTGTACGTATTGAAGGATAACATATCTTCCTAAATTTGGTGTTGTTGAGGTCTCTCAGCTGTATTATTTACTTTCGAAGTCTTCCCTTCTGGATAACATCTTCAGTGTTAACTGCAATGTTAATTGACCTTTCAGAATTCTCCATGGATAATCTATTTGTCTCTGCTGGTCTTCAGTATGACTGGTTGTTTCCTTAGACTTACTGACATTGCTGTTGAATGTCACGACGACGTATGTTTCGACCTTTTGTTATTGTTATCTTATTCTATGCGGTTAGCGTTGAATATATTATGCCGAAGATTCGAAAAGCGATATTAGTTAGATAGCTACGAACAGTCAAGCTGGAGTGAACTGTTGAAGAATTCAAAGCAGTGGAGTTATCCAGTACTCTACATTGGCTTTCATTGTTTCTATGAGCGATGTCGGTTTGTGAAGAGATTAAAACTGGGATCAGTGCAAATAACCTGTGGGACTTCAATATTTGAAAAACACGTATATATTTGGTCAAGAAATTCAGTTTAAAAACGAGCTGATCAAAATTTTGGATAATACCTTATTGATGTGTCGTAAAACCCCAATTAATGCTGAGGAGGATTTAATTTTGTTAGATCGTAAAGGTTTTAGATTAGATCACCAGCTGATGTCGATTACAGACCTACTGAAGAGCAAGAATAACCTGACAGCTGTTTCTTCCTATTTTACGACGCCTCATCAGTACGCACCTGTGAATTCATCCGGGATTGGACCAAACGCGTCAGTTTACGACGCAAGCGTGCTGACCATTTAGCCACAGCTAACATAAATACCTACTAATCGAGATATAACAATATTGTTTTTCTCTTGTGTTGCGGAGATATGGGCCATGTGAACGCAGTGGACCGTTTGTCGAAAGATGTAAGTGGATTTAACATGAATGATTAAACACTGAACTTGTACTTTAGTTGGTTGGTGAGACGGATTCTTTCCTAATTCACAGGTGAATCTTCTCCTATAGTCTTTACACTAGGACGGCGTCCAGCAGCTATGCCATGAGCGGGGTATTGGATTTCGTCTCGTGGGCTCAATGTTCAACAGGTTCACCTCGTAACCTGAAGGTGTCTTCCGTAAGATCGCTTATGGGGGTCATGCGAATCACCAAGTAGAGTGAAATAACTGTCAAGTTCTTACTGATTTGCAGTAGTTCTTTCATTGATGTCGATGGATGATCTATCCTGAATCTCCCAACCCCGACACTCGAAAATTAGTATGCTTTGAAACGGAACATAAACCATAGATCAAAAAGGAATGCTGATTGGGTAATTCAAAAGAGATTTAGGCATTGAATTCCATTTAGAAATTATTGGAAGTAGTATATAATTAATCGATAAACAATAAGCGATGAATACAGATCAGGTCATGGCCAAATGTACACTGAAATCAATTAAATCCCTCTTCCCCCTCCCCTAAATAAACCCTTAACATCTAAAGCAATAACACAGCAAGAAGGCTTTGAAAAGCGTTTTTAACCAATGTTGTGCCAAAAACTAATGTACTTATGACAAGTAAACTTTGCAAAAAAAACTTACATCTGTCACAGTTCGCATACCAACAACATCTAAATATGTCCAAGAGGATATATCCAGGATAATAAATTTCAGTTGTTTAGTAATATTGGGCTGAACCTTGAGGAAAAAAAGATGGAAGAAAATAAAATCAGTAAAGGTGAATAGATTTTGCAATCTTGAAATAAGAAAATACAAGAAAAAAAGAGAAACGGTCAAGTTATTTTTTGATACATTTTAATTAAGTCTATAACTTCATAACAGTGAGTGGGTAGAATGTTTGTCAATCATGCAGCATATGGTTCGGTTTCGATTTTCAGGCGACACATGTGTCCGCAGAGAGACATTCCTTGTCTTACCTCTTTTTTCTTCCTAAAACAATTGTACACGTTTCCTTGAACATCACCCTCGGGGAGAGTTAAAATGTTCTTCTGTACAGGTTTCTTTAGTGATGTCGTCTGCTCACAGTTCAGCTTGCACTTATAGGGCTCACGGGGATTTTCATATCGATATTTGGGATGTTATTCATTACTATTTGCGGATATCTATAGAGATCTTCCTTCTTCTCTTGTTATGACTTGTTTGTAGCATTGGGTATCTGTAAACTTCCTTCCTTTTGAGTTAAATCTCGCCGTCATTATCCTGCAAGACGGGGGTTGGTCCTGACTGCATAATGGCTTTGGGTGTTGTTGGTGATACCATGATAGCCACTTACTGTCTCAGTGTACTCGTGGTTTTCGTCTGGATAACTGGAATGGATCACTGACCCTGCAGTTGACGATTTGGATAGTCCACATCCATTCCACCTGCCCTCACAGATTCTTAGAACTTCCATACCGTTTCTACTCATTTCTTTGACAATCTCGACAGGGTTTTTGGTCTCTTACATTGTAAGAACATTCCACGTTCCCATTCTTACTTTTTCTTCGATCGAAAGAGGATACATTGGATTACTAGTTTTCCGAAAGCTTTCACCAGCCTACATTATTCCGTTTCTCTGATCCCAGCTAAGAACAGGTTTGTTTCTTATATTTTCTGGTGCTTTGAAGTTAGTGTAGGGATTAGATTGATTTTCCGAGGTAGGATTTCTAACTCCACGTCTAACCTTCTCGCTTCTTCCCTGCTGAGGACCGGTTAGTAAACTAGCCGAGGTTTTAGCTGATAGTAGGCGCACAAAAATGAGGGAGCGTTGGGTTGCACCAAGCTATCAACCTCACTCAATGCAAATACCGAAGTTTTAATAAGCTTATAGTTCAAATTTCCAGTAGGAACACAGAGAACGAAAAAATCTCATCACACTGATATTTTACTTCAAGCAACCACAGCAAGACATTCTTGCTAACTACTTCAAACCAAATTTATTTGCCTTTGTCATCTGGATGGTTGGTGCTTATCCTGCGACTTGACCACACACTGATGAAGAACGAGAGACATATGTGTTTTTTTGAAAAACACTAAAGAAAAATAATAACAATACTGTACAGTTGCTCTTACTAGTTCTGGATTCTTCAGGAGTACAACTCCAATAGGAATTGAACCCAGGACCTTGCAGTTATAAGGTGAATCAGTTGACCATTCAATAACTGGAGGTAAGTTGATGATTCACTAGTAGAATGTTCGCCAATCATGCAGCACACTGCCAGGGTTCGACTACCAACTGACTCACTCCTAAAACTTGATCTAGCTTACTAGCTAATAGTAAGTCCGGCAAAGAGTTAAGGATGAGTATGAAGTCTAGCGACCCCACTGCTATAGAACTTCAGAACAACTCAAGTTTGAAGCCTAATTCTCTACTAGGAAAGTCAAGGAATGCGAAAGTGGTTCCTACGCGCCCATGAGATATTATTGACTAGAAGTTGGAAAATTGAGGGAACCCAATATCCTATTTGCACAGCATGACTATTTAAGTATCCTTCGGTTTTATGAAGAACATTATTTTTTACTGAAGAATTTGGTTCTCAGCAAACGCAACATATTAATGTGTCCTAACCATGACCTCTCGGGTCGATTACAGCTCAAATTACATAGTGGCAACTTTGATTAACATAACAAAAAGCTTAGATTTTTGTAGAATTATAGCTTCTCAATATAATATTAGGATAACACTGAACTACTAGAGGTTATGAAGTTAATTTTCTCGTATTTTGATTGGACACTAGTAACTAGTTTGACGTGCCTATTCCTTTCTTTGGTGCAGACTGAATTCTATCAGTCAGGTTTGCAATGTGGCCACCATTCTAGGTAGCTGCTCGCCATCACGGTGCACATTGATTTGATGATATCAGTTAGTTGGAGGCAATCGGCCACAGGAAGCCTTGCTTGACCTCCTAGGTTTCGTGCTAGTTGGCACCAACCAGTCAGCAAAGCGTATCTGCAACTGCCTTGAAGGGACTCATGTCCCTTCTGAGATTCTAACCCATGTTACCCAGCAAGCGCTGCAGTCAGAGACGTTATCACTCTCGTATTCTCCACCTATCTCTCTGTAGTCTAACATTTATTAGGAAATTACACGTGCCGCATTACAAATGTAATACAATCTAATGATGCTGCTAATTCAGTAGATTTACACTGAAGCCAAATTCTCATTAACGTGTAACTTCCATTCATTCATTCATTAATTCAGCAAATTTACATTGCTAATTGACACTTAGTTATGTTCGCTTAGATAATCTTATCTTTATTTATTTAACTGATTTATTTTTTGACCTTTATATTATAAATAAAGCAGCTTATTTCAATCACACATGTCACTGGATTATTCAAATTTTGTTATAGAAAAATGAATAAACAAATAACACATACAAAAACACACACTTTACAAGTAACTACAGTCCTTCATTTAATTTCTTTGCCTTCCTAGTGGAACAACGTGGGCTTCAAGTTTCAGTATTCATGCTGTTGTTTTATACGCTGGGGAGGAGAACGGGGGTCGCTAGGCTGGAGCCATATCTTCTTTTTTAACCCGAGTTAATACGGGCTAAGTAAAGTTTAGAAATGAGTCTGCCGGGGATCGAGCCAGACACGACGAGAATGATTGACGAGCATTCTACGATCGAACCACCGACGCAGATGGTTTTTTTATTCATTCACGTTCCCAGTGGAACATAGGGCTTCAAGTTACAGGCTTGAAATTTCTGTAGCAGTGTTTATTTTTACAGGATGGGGTTGCTAGCCTCATGCCCAACCTTTCCTCTTTACCAATCTTATTAGTGGTTTAGCGAGGTAAAGGACTGCGTTGGCCGGGATTCGAACCCCGGACCATGTGCATGGTCGGCGAGCGCCCTTACCTCTGTGCCACCGACGCACGCAGATGGGTTACTGGAGATGAAATGAAAGTCAGTACCTATGAAGATTAAAATACAACTAAGTGATAACAAAAGACTTCTCACTATGGGCTATAAATTATATTTAAAGGCCTGTAACCTTACTTGATTTAGGATATGGCTTAAAACTACAGCATAACTATTGAAGGTTGATAGGATAAACCAATAAGGACTATTCAACGATCATTTTCCAGTCAGATCACCCGTAAAACTGTTTAATACTGATCTCTAATGGTTGTTTAAGTAAAACAGGTGGAGAAGGAAATATGGAGGAGCTCCAAGCATAGATGAGAAGTTCATTGACTGACTGACAGGTTTCAATGTAGAACTTTGCACAGAATTCCACAAGTTCAAGTTGCCACACTCTATGTAGCACACAAAGCAAGAGAAGAGGGTATAAAGAAATTCAAAACAGAGATATGGGCCAAAAAGAATAGCAGTATGGAAGAACAATAGAGTCCTATTGAATATTATAAATCACAAGGAGTGGATGCATCTGCGCTGTCATCGAGAACGATTTTAAGCCATATTACCAATTGTCTCAAGCCTTCATTGGCTTTTCGCGTCCCTAGGATCTCAACCGGGAACTCTATATCTCCCTACGTGGCTTAAATTATCTGTTGTGGATTTCATTGACCGATGCCATGTTTTGTTTTGACCACCAATAGATAGCTCTTCCCTAACCTCATCGATCCAATGTCAGCTAACGTTGCCTGTCGAGGAGGAAGGCGATAGCTAGGCATACGTAACACACATCTTAACCATCTCAATCGATGTTACTTCACAACCTCGTCGATTGATGATTTCCCCTCCTTACCTAGCACTCGATCGATGCCTAACCTCAATATTGCTCACCCTATTATACGACTTCACATGGAAAGTGTACTTTAGTCAACTGCTATGAGATGTTCATCAACTAACTGTGATCAAGATTTGACCGGATAATTCCACAAAAATTGAACGCCGAAGAATTTAGAACAGTTTACCGAACAAAACGATGGAATTGTTTATTTCAGTTTCGCTGATATTTATACACATATAATTTTTACATGTATTTCCGACAGTTAATAAGCATTTTATCCCAGTGGAACTATACATAAAACTATGCTACTTACTGCACGTTAATGTGAGAATAAAACAATGAAATATTTCAGAAAATGTTTAATATTCACTTTGTGGGGATTTGATTAATTTCAAAGATAGACTCCGTTACAAGCTGAAATAACCATAGGACGTTAAACTACTGTTTTGTCTTTATCAAGGGCTTTTTACTAGTGTGTAAGGAATAGCGGAGGCATAGATCTCAAGGACTTTGAGGTCACGATCTAAGCGAGTGTATTATTCAGATAGTGGGTTAAAATCCTGTGAATTCAAGCTTTTGTCAATTCGCAGTATTGTGTCATAACCAGCCAGTGTCACCAAAAGGAATTTTTCTTTACACACTTGACTTAGTGAACCCCATAAACTCCATTTCGCTATGAGAGGATCATAACAACCACTCTGAAGAAAGTCGCTTATACACACCGTATTCGATTAGTTTCGAGGTAGACTTCATTACGAATCTACAGTGGAAATCAAGCTTTCCTTTGACTATTGAATGAAAAGTTGCTTCAAGTTACAAAAAAAATGGATCAGTAAAACAGTTCATAATTATGTAATGTGAGAAATTTGAAAGGGGTAACTTCCTTCACTTATTTAGAAAGCATCGTTTAAACTACAGGCAGTCAGAAAGGATGAAAATGTCAAAACCAGCCAGAATCGGAAAAGCAAGGCAGACCTTCATCACCCAGAAATCAG